CCCCCTCTTTCTCTCTCCCCTTTGCGTGTGCTGCTGAGAAGCATCACGCGTCTTGACCGCAATACCCGAGCATCCGCGGCTGCGCAAGCGGCCCCAGCAACGGAGGAGCACAGATTGGTTGCCAACGCAGTAACAAGATGTCCTTTGGCAGACCCCCCATGTATCAGGGTGCCAACAGGGCACTGGGTGACGCACCCAAACAACCAGGCACAGATGCCTGCTTGCCACCCAAAACAATGTTCGTAGACGGGTAAAGAATAGCCAGCACCTGCTTGAACATCACTGCAGGAGACAGAAACTGTCAATGAGATCCAGGACGAGAAAGAAAAGCAACAACACACACACACACACACACAAAAACGCCAAGTGACGCAAAAGCTGTGCAGCACCAGCTGCAGCTGGTCGATGACGCCACGGAGACGCTGTCCCGGCTTGCAAGCAAATGGGGGCCGCTCACACGCGGAGCCCCAAAACCTTACACTGCATCTATGCGCCTGCCGGCACGCCCGCCACGCCGCGCGGCGCCGTGCACGCCGCCACAAACGCCTTGATGCGCGGGTTGACGAGCTGCGGCGCCTCGTCCATCGGGCAGTGGCCGCAGCCGGGCAGCTCCACAAACTCTGTCACCGGCGGCAGCGACGCAAACAGCCGGCGCCCCTCACGGCAGTCCTCCCAAGGGTCCTCCGCCCCCCACAGCAGCGACACGGGCACCTGCACCTGCGGGGGCGCGCGCGAGGGGGGGCGGGAGCAGAGGCACGGGCGGGACAGGGGGGTCGGTCCCCTACACCAGGGAGGGCGCTGAAGTGCACCGCGTGACGTTTGCACGAAGGCAGCCCCCGTCAAATTCGGCTTTGCCCCGATCGCGCCAGAAACCGAGATTGCTTGGTGGCGCACACCTGCTGTATGAGGGACTCGGGCAGGGGGCCGCCAGAATAGCTGATGAAGTCCAGGAACACCTCCGCTGCGCCAGGCTGGCAAGGGAATGCAAAGGGGTGGGCCGGGGCCAGGTGGGCGGCAAGACGGGCTGCAATTGCGACGCCAGCAAAGCGAGCGAGCCGCAGCGGCGATGGCAGGTGGCGCCGCGCGCGACAGCTGGAAGCGTGTCGTCCGCTTCGCAGGGGCTCCTGCTGGTGCGCCGCTGTGCAGAGCGGTGCGGCTGTGCCGTCCGGCAGGCGGGGGCCCTGCTGCTCTACCGGTGCCCTACCTGCAGACCCGGCTTGAGGATGCAATCAACCAGCTGTGACACATCGAAGTTTGTGGGGCGGGGCGGGCTTCAACGGGCTAGCTGAGTGCGGGTCTGGCTGACACGCAGGAAGATGGTAGCAATGGTGGCTGCATTTGCCCACGAACGTTGTGCCTTGTAAGGTGTCTAAGCAGCCTCACAACCATGTTAGGCCCTGCCCCGGCCACCCCTTGGTGCCCCTGACCTCATCCGTGACCGTCTCCTTTTGTGCGTAGCACTGCTGCAGAATCTTCTTGACGGTCTGGGGTTGTGGCACACGCACAGGGTTGTCATGGTGGTGTGCGCGTGTTTGTGAGAGTGTGTAGTTTGTGTGTGTGTGTGTGTGTGTGTGCGTGTGTGTGTGTGTGTGTGTGTGTGTGTGCGCGTGCGCGCGCGCGCGCGCGCAAGCTTGCGCTGAGGGGAGTGTATGACACACGTTCCTTAAGCACGCCGCACGCCCTCAAACCCCACGAGCTGCGGGTGCGCTCACCCACCCTCGCCCCAGCCAAAAAACCCTGTTTGGCGTCCAGCCCTGTGCACAGCAGCAAGCACAGCAGCGGCCCCACCGCAAGTCGCGGGATCTCACTTGCGGCTTGGCCACGTTCCCGAAGAACGCCTGCCCCAGCTGCGTCTCCTTCAGGACCTTCTGCAGCAGCGCCACGAGCGGCCGCTGCAGCGGCGACTGGCGCTCGACGTGCAGCCCGCGCAGGGATATGTTGATCAGCTGCACCCCGCGGACGCGCTCGGGCGCGTACAGCGCCGCTTGCAGCCCCGCCAGGCCTGCGGGCCGGGCGGGCAGCGATGGTCGAGGTTTAGCGCCGTAGAGTTGCGGCCAGTCGAAGCCTGTCATCTGCTCCGCCACTCTTCCGCCGCCCTCAAAGCTGACGTGCGCCAGATGCTCTCAAGCAGGTTCACAACTTGCAACCGATCCTTTTCGCGCGCCACTGAGCTGGCCATCCCCACCCTCCCTGCTCCCACAGCCCCCACCTCCCACGCTGTTGGCGATGATGGTGGCATCATCTTGCACCTTCTCCTCTATGAAGTCCACCAGCTGGCGGCCCCAAGTCTCAAAGCAGTAAATGCTGTTCGGAGGCGCTGACCTGGCAGGTGTGCAGGTGTGGGCTTTGGAGCGAAATGGCGGCAGCGTGCCTGACATGCTGCAAACAGGTACGACTGCTGGATTCTGGGGCTCCAGCACTTGACCACAAGACCGACACATCAAGTGCGGGTGCCGCGGCTTCCACGCGGCACGCTGCCAACTGTAGGGAGCACGAGTCGTAAAAGCAAGCCCCAAGTGTGTCAGCTGGCTGCCCACCTAGGGTCTGGCTTGTCACTGTAGCCGTAACCGAGGAGGTCAATCGCATAGGCGCGGTGGCCCCCCTTAGCCAGCTCGGGGATGTTCTTGCGCCAGTGGTCGCTGCATCGTGGGGGGATGCGTGCTCGTCACGCCACAAGGCAGACAAGAGGACATCCAGGAGCAGGTGCACGCTTGCACACAATGCACAGGTATTTCCACGGCATTGCCCTCGCCGTGCATGCGGGGCACGGCGCGAAAGATCGGGCCACGAGTCCATCGGCCGAGTGCTGCAGAGGCGCCGCAGCCGATCATCGCCCGCGCACCAGTTGCCGCCAAAGCCGTGGACCAGCAGCACCGCCGGGCCGCCGTCGCCGCTGCGCTGATAGCGGATCTTGTGACCCTCCCACTCCCAGAACCTGCGCACACCGGCACGCATCGGCGCAGTAAGCAGGGAGGCCTGTGTGCCGTCCGGCCCAGACCCGGCGGTGAGCTGCTCCGCCCATACGAATGAAGCACCAAACGGCCCAAAGAGACGTCAATTGTGGTGCTGGTTCCAGGCCAAAGCTCCCATGCGCTGTGCACTGTCAGGGCAGCGTGCCGCAGGCACGACAGCGCCTAGCCACACACACCAGCGTGGCCAGCGCCAAGCACCGGCACAAGCGCCCCGCCGACCTCACCCCTGCATCACCCCTGGACGAACCTCCACCTCCTCTACAGCTTTAGCTGCACGGCATTGCACCCTCACGCGGCTCGTGCGAATGACGCGCCCTGCCGAGGCTGGCCGCGAGACATAACCCGATCGCATGGCCCGCGCGTACATGATGGCTCGTTTATGCGAATCACCAAGCTGACAACACGCTTGCAAATATGACGTTGTCAAACAATTAAAAGTACGCACCAGGCGGACCCCTCGATGGATCGTGGTGCGCACGCTCTCCTGGCAGCATTTGAACCTGCGCACGACCTCTCTCCCGCCCCAACCACCACTTGCTCCACCCATGCAAGGCGCCACACCCACGTCATACAAGTAGAAATTACCAAAGATTGTATCGTGTGTACTGAGGCGCACATGCAGTGCCCTACAAGCATGTTACATGCTCCAGTCCGCACAGTCCAGTGACACAAGTGAGAGACAGGGCGAGCACAGGTCCGTGATGGGAAACCAGCATGCGCTTGTGCAAACTCACCTGCGCTGCGTCCCATATCAGCTGCTATTCCTGCAGCAGCTGCTGCTTCGGAGGCCCCGGTTGCTTCAGGTGCCCCTCGTGCTGCGTCCCGGCCCCATGCTGCTTGAACCGATTTGCTCTTGTATTCCTCGCGTGTGATGGTGCTCTGACATGTCCTGCTCACTCCCTCCCCCTGCTGCTGCTGCTGCTGCTGCTGCTGCTGCTGCTGCTGCTGCTGCTGCTGCTGCTGCTGCTGCTGCTGCTGCTGCTGCTGCTGCTGCTGCTGTCGACTCATTCGCTGACCAAAGAGGCTAAATCAAAAGGGCTGCGTTTTCATCTGCCTTTGTTGGGATGATGTTCTGCTGCGACGAGTTGCCTATGTCTCGGGTCCTCAGAAATCTGCTGGTTTTGCAAGAGAGCTTAGCGCACGCGCGCAACGCATCCCTGTACATGACGCAGAAAGCAACGGAGGTTCTGAGGCGGGTGAGCAAACCTTACCAATCACGAGACTAGATACTCACAGCTCGCGGGGCACCAAATCAACACCGATATGCCTCCGTCCGCACGCAGGATTACTGCCAGGCAGCCCGCCAGGGCGCTGATGTGCCCACCATTTGCACCGTGAACCAGGGTCCATAAACAGCAGACATTCAAGTAACGCTGCCCATTCATGTCATACCTCAGCGATCACCACCGCCTGGTGCATCCAGCACACGGCAGGCTTGACCTGGCTTGACTGTACGGTAGTCTGCAGACGGCTCGACCTACGCGTGCGATGTGCTGTTTGGAAACAGAATCATGTAATGTCAACGTCCCGCTTTCTTCTTTCTCGATTGTCACTGTATGCATCACGAAGAGGCCCAGCTGGGCAGACAGCCAGTTCGGCTCAACGTCGGTCGCCCAGGGCCAGGCGGTAGGCAGATTGCTGGTGACGGCAGGAGTTGAGAAGTGCCACCTCCTCGTGTGCAGCCAGGCCTACGGTGTTCGTAGACTGTTGCAAAATTACACCGCGCAGTCATATATCACCAAAGCCTTGGTTCGCAGATCTATCAGATTGTTTGCAAACACGCGCAAGAATGTTATCAACGCCAAAGTGTCCCTATATACGCCAGAATAATGCGTGCGTTCTGTCTACTCTCGCCCGTGCTCAGCGCCGGGGTGTCGTCGGTCGCCTTGCTGCCGCCGCCCTCGCCCCTGGCTGGCGCAGCGACAGCGGCGGCCGCCTGATGTGCCGAGCGGCCCCGCCGGACGTACAGAGCCCGATAGGTCTGCCCGCGTCAGTGCCTGAGCCGATCATCCTTTTTGAAGGGGACAGCGAGCTCAACGGCACCATTCAAATACACGAGGTGCGCCCACCCGCCAGCTCGCCCGCGACCGCGCTCGTGGCGTGGGGTTCCTCATGCGGCACTGGCTGCAGCCGCTGTCCCTGCGCGCTGGTTCGTTTATTCCTGTCTGACCTCCGCCTGCGGCATCGGCCTTCCCGCCGCGCGGCGGCCGGGACAGGGGCTGCGGGTCAACGCGCGCTTAAACGCGTGTACCCCTCCTCCTAGCCTCCTGTGCCTTTCGGGCCCCTCACCCGCACCCCTGGCCGGGCCGCCGCGGCCCCTCAACAGGTCCCCTACGCGGAGGGCATCCCACCTGAAATCCAGGGGTCGCGGCTGATGTACATGGGAAGCCCGCTGCGCCTGCTGGGCGTATACCGCCCGCTGGGTGACGAATACCCCCTCAGCTATGCCTACTGGTGGGTTGCGGCGATGCGACGCCGGCTGGCCGCCCGCATGGCAAAGTTTGGCGGCAGCCTGCAACGGCATGCGACTGGAACCCACTGCAGCAACAGGGGCGGCGGCGGAGGTGGCCGCCGCAGCAGAGAGAGCTCCGCGATGGTGGCGTCTGAAGCTTTCCAGCCGCGCCCGGTTGAGGGCCGCGGTCCGGCCCTGCGCGATCTGACGCCGCCACGCGCCACCGCGCCGCGACCCGCAGGGACTTTTTTGCAACATTGCCTGTGCTACTGGACGAGGGGCCGGTCGCCATGTACGGCTGGGTGAGCCCGGTCTGGGTAGTTGAGGGGGAGGGGATGGTTTGCCGGAGCGAAAGCAGGGCGTCTGGTGCGTGCCAGCATCCCCGCAGACTGGCTGGCGAGCTCACCGACCCGCGAGCCGTCACAAGGCTGACCCTACTCGAACTCCAAAATAATCCTCACACCCGCGCTCCAAAACCCATCGAAATGAACGGCACGCCAGCCACCGGAGCCGCCTGAAGCACCCGCCTCCCAGCTGACCCGGCCCCGCCTGGGCACACCGCGCCGCCCCCAACCGCCCGCTGACCGCCGCCCCCGGCCCGCCCGCGCGCCCCCGCCGCGCCTTTTGCTTCCACCAGTGCGGCGGCACGCCCGCGCGGCTGCTGGCTGAGGTCTACGACCCGCCCCCCAGGCTGGTGGCGTGGGAGCTCGACCCCCGGGTAATCGACGCCTGCCGCCTGGGCATGGGCCTGGAGGAGGTGTGCCGCGCGGCGGGCGGCCTGCAGGTGCAGCTGGGCAACCCCCTCGCGCCGGCCGCGTCGGCCCCAGGCGGCTTTGCGGCGGTGATGGTGGATTTGTTCATCGACGGGAAGCTGCTGCCGCAGCTGATGGACGCCAACGTGTGGCGCACGGTGCGGTCGCGGCTGGCAGACCCCGCCAAGGGGCGCGTGATGGCGCACCTGGGGCCGGCCTCGGACGAGCAGGGGCGGCTGGTGCCGCAGACGGTGGTGGCGCTCAACGCCATGGCGCGCGCATTTGACGGTGAGGGGGGTGGGGGTTGAGGTTTGCTCTGCCATGCACTGCAAGTCTGTTGCTAAACGCATGCAACGACAGAGATGCGGCCACCCAAAGACTTGACACGCATGCACACACGCACGTATCCGCGCGTTCATACTCGTGTGCGCACATGCACGCTCACATGCGCAGCGCGCGTGCACGCGCGCGCGCGCACACACACACACTCTCTCTCTCTCTCTCTCTCTCTCTCTCTCTCTCTCTCTCTCTCTCTCTCTCTCTCTCTCCCTCTCTCTCCAGCACTCACTCCCGCACACACACAGAGACACACTCCCTATACACATACACACACAAACACACACATACGCATCCTCTTCAACCCCCTCCACCCCTCAGGCCAGGTGTACTACATCGACCCGCCAGAGAACAGTCAGCTGGACGTTATGGCGCTGACAGGGCCGCTGCCCGACAAGGAGGAGTGGGCGGCGGCTGTCGGGCCCATGCTGGCGCCCTACACCGTTGACTGGGAGTTGTGGACTGTCGTGGATGAGTCGGACTTCCGCGACGCGGCGCAGTACGATGAGGAGGATGGAGAGGAGGATGAGCAGCAGCCGGAGGACGAGGGAGAGGAGGAGCAGGAGCAGGGAAGGCAGCAGCGGGAATGGGGAGACCAGTGGGGGGCCGAGCGGAGAAGGTAGATGGGGGGCCAGGGCTCGCCGAAGCGGCGCAATCACAGGGGTGTGGGGGCTGAAAATGCCCCCCTGTTGGCCTGTAATCGTGTCCTGGTGTCCGTGTCAGGCTAAGAGTCAAGCAGATTCTACAATCAGCTCTGCTGAACTACCAAAGGACTGATTTAGTTGCTGGCGGCTTGCTGGCGGCTTGCTGGCGGCATGTGATGCTGCTGACATTACATCAGCGCCATGCAAAGAATCGCGCCATGCAAAGAAACGCCTCGCCTGTAACCCTCGCATGAGAGGAGATGAGGGCCCACGCTCTTCAAGCATTTAGGCACCAAAGGGCCTGAACAGCACACTACAGGGGCGCCTTTGAGGCGGGCATGTGCGTGTGGGGCATTCATGGTAGAAAGAGACCGAGTTCCTCTGTCTATGTGCGATTTGAACTTGAATGCGCAGGGGCTGCACAATGAGACCTACGGCCTGCAAGCAAGTGAACCTTCATTCAAGGGAACTGTAGTGCTTTAAGAATCCTTCAACTGCAAGCGCATGGCATGGCGGACGATGAGCAGCAAAGCCAACAGATACTGAATCACAGGGCCATCAGGGCCAGCACCGCTGCCGCCAGCGTGGGCGTGATGGCTGCCAAATGCGCAGCCCGGGCGGCGGACGACGCCGCCGCCTTGGCCGCCGCTGGCGCAGCTGTCGCCGTTGTGTTGGCCACCAGTGGTGGCGGCGGCGGCGGCCCGGTCAGCGTCAGCAGGTTGCCTTGCACAAGTTTGTAGGCCGCCACGCAGCCGCCCCCGGCGACGGGCAGGGTGATGACGAGCGTGTCGTTGCCGCGGGTCGTGGCGGTGGCCAGGGTCCTGAATCCCGGGATCAGCAGGGCGCCCGCATTGACAGAGGTGACCACCCCTTGAACGCTATTGCTGCACGTGCCCGCCGCTGCGCCGGTGGCCGGGGCCGCGACCGCCAGGCCTGCGCCCGGGCGGAGGCCGGCGTCGCCGCCCAGGCCGCCGCCGGCTCCGAAGCCGGTGCCGGCTCCAAGGCCCGCGGCCGGCGCCGCACCCATGACAGGCGCGGCACCAAAGCCGGCACCGGCGCCACCGCCGGTGCTGGCTCCCAGGCCTGCATTCGGGTCGTCACGCGCAACAGGCGCGGCTCCAAAGCCTGGTGCGGCACCGACGACCGGCGCAGCACCCTGGCCCGGGGCAGCACCTTGGCCCAGCGCGGCCGCGGGCGCGGCTCCAAAGCCCTGCGCGGCACCGACGCCCGGCGCAGCACCTGGGCCCGGTGCGGCCGTGGGTGCGGCGCCAAAGCCCGGCGTAGCACCGACGTCCGGCGCAGCGACTTGGCCTGGTGCAGCTGCGGGCGCGGCTCCAAAGCCCGGCGCGGCACCGACGCCCGGCGCAGCAACCTGGCCCGGTGCAGCACCTTGGCCCGGCGTCGCTGCGGGCGCGGCGCCAAAGCCGCCGAGGCTGCTGCCGGGGGGCGGGCCATTTGCGACGGCCGGGTCTGCGGCGCTGCCCACGGCGTACTGCTGCAGGCGGCGGCCGAACTGGTCAGAGCCTGGGGCCGCAGCAGCGCCCACGTTTGAGTTGGCCAAGATGCTGGCGGCGCTCACACCGCCCGCAGAGCTGCCGCTGGCTGTTCCCGCGCCGCCACTCAGAGGGCCCATGCCTGCCCCGCTACCGAGGCCGCTGAGGCCCGTGCCGCCGCTCAGTCCCCCGCTTGGCCCCGCACCGCCCAGGCCGCTTGCGCCAGTGCCCGCCCCCACGGCGCTGCTGAGCCCGCCGCCAAGGCCGCCCAAGCCGCCGCCGCCGCCGCCACCGCCCAGGCCGGCGGCGCCGGGCAGCGCCGCCGAGCCGGCGTCGGCGCCAGGCGTGATGGTGAAGCCGCCGCTGCCAATGGTGGCCGAGGCAGATTGCGCGCAGTCGTACAGCCAGGTCTGGCCGCCGCAGGCACCGGCGCCGGGGTACTGCACGAGCTTCAGGATTGCCGCTGGAGTCCGCAGGCAGTGTGCAGATTCAGGGGAAGGGCAAGGGGGGGTGATTGCGTGAGCCGGGAGGGGAGTGCAGGCGGTTACCGAGGCAGCGGGGCAAGGGTCGGGTGGGGATGTTTCACAGGCGGCCGTGCTGAATGTCCCGCACCAGGTGTTGGGCGAGGGATCAGGCGCGGACTTTGCCGCCATCAAACAGCTTTGATTGCTGAAAGGTTTCAGAGCATGCTCACCCGAGTTGCTGACGCCAAGCGGCATCTTGATGCACTTGCATGTTGACGTGGGGCGGTCAAACGTGCCACCCTGGCTGCACTGGAACGCAAATTGCCCAGCGGCCGCACACTGCTCCTGGCAAGCCCCCAGATTGGTTTGGCAGAGCTGACTCCCGTCGCTCTGCACGATGCCGGCATGTGCGCAGCAGGCGGCAGCCAGCAGCAGCAGCAAGGCCGCCGCGCCTCGATGCGCAGCCCGGGCCATGCGGGCCATTGTCGGCCTCGCTCTAGTTTGGGCGACACCTGATTGCGGTTGACGTCGTAGCAGATTCAGTATTTGGGAGAGGTTATGCACCACGACTGAAGCTTCAAATGGGGCAGTCACTTGCAATGTGCTGCTGCAGAACCGGTGCACCACTTTGGCAGCGTGGAGGCCCTGAATACCACACCTCCGCTACCAGCTGAACCAACTAAGAGAGCATTCTCAAACCATATGGAAGCCTTGTAAATGAAATCCATGCCCGCTCGACGGAGACACACCCAAGCGCCGCTCCGGCAAACTGCCAATGTAGCCGCGGGCAGTGGCTGCGCCTTACATCAACACTGTCATGAACAAAACCTCAGTTGCACTCCTGTTCACCCGCGCACATCCCTTCTGGCCTCCCTGATCATCGCGCACAACAAAGCCAATCATGGGCCTCACCTGCTCGCGATGATATACCCTACAGCTGCTGAACAGAAATAAGCTTGCCGACTCTACAACGTTTATGCGTGTTGGCATTGACCTTTGCGCCCGTATCACCCGTGTTTTTGTAGTCACTGTTGCGAGGTGCGCGGGAGAGATGCGGCAGCGCAATGGGTTTGCCGCAGCCAGCATGCGCACCCGCGCGTACCAGGCGCGACCGCGCTGCCCAACCCCATTTGCAAATGACGATCCTGCCGGTCAGGGGATGCCAGGCATATTGCACATACTGGGAGTGCACACCACTGGCCCAATCCCGCCTTACAGAAACCAACCACATTATCAACCGACCACCCCCCATGCACGCTCTGGTCGACGTGTCTCGGCACGGGGCAAGCAGCAGCAGGAGGAGCAGCAGCTGGCGAACGAGGAGCGGGGGCAGGAGCAGCAGCAGCAGCTACGCGAGCAGGCGCAGCAGAGGGCACCACGGCGGCAGCAGTCAGAGCAGGAGCAGGAGGCCAGAGCGCAGCTGCAGCAGCAACGACGGCGGGCACAGATGGCGCAGCGCAGTAGGCGGTACCGTGCCGCCAAAAAACTCTCCTGTGAGGACCTGAACAGACGCCTTGCGAATGCGCGGGCACGGTACGTCCGCCTTTGCAGAGAGCTGCACATAGACGACAGAGGGCAGCAGCAGCTCGTTGTGCCTGCATCAGGATGCACACAGGCCAAGTTGCCGTCATGGCGTTTGCCGAGACAGCGTGAGATATCCTTGGTGCAGCAGGTCAACGCGTACGACGCAGCATATGAGCAGCTCGCAAATCGAAAGCGCGAGCTAGCTGCAGCGCTGCACCAGCGCGGCTCCGGCGCCGGCGGCACCAGTCCAGGTGCCAGCAGCGGGCGGCAGCCGCGGCAGCGCCAGGAGCAGCAACAGGATCAGCAGCAGGAGCAGCAGCAGCAGCAACAGCAGGAACGGCAGCAGCAGCAGCAGCAGCAGCGGGCCGCCTGGGCAGGCCACCCGCAGGCTCGCGACTCGGACGGCGGTGACAGCAGCAGCAGCGATGGTCAGGGGAGCGAGGACGGCGGAGAGAGGGACGACGACAGGGAGGGCGGCGGAACAGACATGGGCGGTGAGGCCTCTGAGGAGGAGGAGGAGGAGGAGGGGGAGCGGCGCCCGCAGGGCCACGAGGGCGGCGGCACAGGCCCCTCCAATGCGCCGCGCCGGTGGGGCGGCGGCCGGGGCGCCTCGCCTGACCTGCCGAGGCGCGTCAACGGCGGTGGCAGCGGCTTGGCTGCCACGCCGTCACTAGAGGCGCGCGGCGGCGGCGGCGGCGGCGGTGGTCGGGGGCTCAAGCGTCGGCGGCTGCTGGAGGGCACAGGCGATGCGGAGGCCGCGCAGGTTCCGGTGGCGCGCGGCGAGGCGGCGGCGGAGCCGCGAGTGCTGCACGGCTCGGGCTGCCGCGGTCGGGGCACAGGTAGGGGCAGGGGGCGCCGCCGCGGCAGGGGGCGTGGGCGCAGCCGCGGCGGCGCCCACGAGACCGAGATGACCATGCTTAAAAGCCGCAAGAAACGGAAAGTATAGCGGCAGCAGCAGCGGCAGCGGCAGCAGCAGCGGCAGCTCCAGTGATGGACGCAGTGGTGGCGAGACGGACGCAGAGCCGTTCACAGCGAGTGCGGAGGAAGACGAGTCTGGCGGCAAGGAGGTGTATGACGACGCGGCCTTTGGTGCCTCGCCGTCAGACAGTGATGACAAGGGTGTGGCCGAGCAGGGCGCGGGCCGCGCGCGGCGCTCGGCAGCAGTCGGAGCGCAGCTGCGTTGGCGCGAGCAGCGGCGGTTGGGCGGTCTGTGAGATGTGTTGTGTGCATTGACTGCTTGCACGAGTGTAACACAGCCATCACCATCTTCATCATTGACCGCAATTTGCTAGTCACTGGGTGGGTGGTGGACGACAGCTACCCTACCAGCGCGAGCGGGCGTGCTTTGACCACTTGCTGGCTGCCCACCCGCTCTAAGCTGGGCGGTTGAAGGGGCTGTGTGTCAGCCTGGCGCATCTTTCGTACAGTACCTGCACTGAATGGTCAGAATGCCTATCAGCCTTCTCGTGCTCACAAGAAGACTCCATGGGTTGGCGTGTGCGTCCAAGCAAACCTCGCAGTGAAATCTCGAGTCCCGCAAGGGCAAACAGGCCAGTCGATAGAGCGCCATGCCAGCGCAACACGCCAAGTGAGTGAATGCTTTTTGCCTCCTGAAGCGCCAGGACAGCTGCTTTATTCAATCGATTACTAATCGATTACTGGAATGGACATCAGTGTGAAGTCAGGTGAGGGTTGGTGGGGTCAGAAAGTCCGGACATGAGAGTTGTGAAGACAACAAATAGTTTGTGCACAACAGCAATATGCTGCCTGATCACACCAAAATGCAGCCTATGAATCTCATCCAGCAAGTCATCACCACATGATCTGCAACATGTAGGTATAAACAGCGCCAAAGGCTGCGCATTCGGTGACTTAGCCGTTGCCATCGCACAAGTTGATTGTTGAGGTGATCTGACAGCTACTGCCAGCATGCACCATTACTGTACACCGTCTCAGCCTGTCAGATGCGTCGCGCCCTCAGAAGGGCAGCCTGCACTATTTCGCTGCTGGCACAGCCGCTGCTGCTGCCGCCACTGCTGCCGCTGCCTTTGCCGTTTCGGATGTTTTGCTGCTGTCACTGCTGGTGCTGCCCCTGCTGAACCTGCTGCTGCCGCTGCTGATGCAGATGCTGCTACTGCTGCTGCTGCCGCCGCCCCTGCTGCTGCCGCTGCTGCCGCTGCCGCTGCCGCCGCTGCCATTCTCACTGCTCAATCAGAGTCGTCTCTGCGGTCGCCTGCTGCTGCATGTGAAACAGTCCCGCGCTCGCCCCGAGGAAACTCCCCTCCGAAACGCGGTACAACAGGACACACTTCGACGAACTGATGTCACTTGTCCCTGCGCTCTGGCCAACATGCAGAGCAACCAGACCGTCTGGCCTGGCAGAAATGAGGCCAGCGCGCTGCTGGGGCAGTGCAACTGCTGCTGCCTGCCCGTCCCGGCCGCCGACAACACCAACGACGGGCGGGCACGCCGTGGTGTTGCTCGGCGACAGTGTGACGCTGGCGCCGTCAATCGCTGCGGTGAGGTGGCTGCTGCATCCACGGGTCCAGTGTTGCTGTTTGCAAGCTTCATCTGCGGACGAGCTCACAAGCTCCAAACGGGCCCCTGCAAAGGGTTGGGAATGGAAACGCACACAACGGGGCTGTCAGGTAAAGGCACACAAGTCAAGATTGACAATCTGATCTAAAGAGGGTATTATAATGCCTGAACACACCATCTCTTATGTCGTGTGCACACACCCCTCTTTGAAATGCTCACTCTGCTGCGGGCCGCCAACAACAGCTGCAGCCTCGGTGCAGCGGCAGCCCACTCGAGGAGCGTCCGCCTTGGCTGAGCAGCTGAATACGTAGTCCAGCCCCTTGCATTTTGTCTCGCAGGCTGGCAGAGCTGAGCGGCAGGTTGCAGTGTTGTCGAGCTCCACAAACGCCGCATCAGCTGTGCAGAGCAGCAGCAGCTCCACCACCGCCAGCCCGGCGACCAGCAGCATCGCGCGTGCCATACGATAGTGTAAACCGTCTGTGAACATTCAAATCAACGTATATGTGCGTATTAACGAGGTCGCTTGGGCATGCAAGGCGCGTAAATCGCATGCGCGCCTGCCAGCAGTTGTCCCGGGTGCCGGCATCTGGGTCACGCGCAGGGCTGACAACCACACCAACCTGATGTTGATGATGTGTGCTACACTGATATAATCGAGTTATGTCGTCGTCACAGGGACTGCCTGTCGACCAATCGATGCCCGGCACCACTCGCCAACTTGAGAGGATGTGTCGAGGGATGAGAAAGCGGGAGGGAGAAAGAGCGGAAAGAAGGGGTGAAGATGAGAGGGATGAAGGGGTGGGGCGCTAGCAATGCATGCGCCTCGAAAGGACTCGCATTTCAGCCTCTCTCTCGCTCGGCCGCCTGCAGGGCTGCTAACGCAACCCCTCGCAACACCTGCGCACGGCAATAGCTCTCATCTTGCCGTTTCTGTGCACATATGTGACACAATCAGAGTCAACTGTGTTCATGGTGCACACGACCAGCATGGCGACCCACCCCAAGCATCAGCACAGCCGCGACGGTATGTTCACTTGAGTGCGCAGCCGTCACCTGCCACAACAGCCCGTTTGCAACCACTGTACTGCTATAACAACCCCCAAGCGACTCCAATGGGCTGTCAAGACAGTGCCAAGCTCACCTGCCCACGCATAAAACAATGGTGCATGGTGTGCGCCTCCAGCCACCAAAACACTCTCCGTGCATCTGGCGTGCCGACGCCTACGACAGTAAAGATTCTGTGACCCAAAAACAGGCGCTGCATTGCCAGGTCAAGAGTTACAATTTCGCTTGTTACAGAGTGCACAGCAAGAAACAAAACCTGTGCAAAAATTGAAGTATACAAGCCAGCCCCAGTCCTCGTATGGGCCGCCCATCTGTAGAGCGATACGCGTCGTGCTCAACTAATGCGCACGCGACGCGACCTCGTGCGGCCAGGCAAGCGCAACACGATACAAACCAGGGAATGCAGCCGCCCCTTGAAGACAGCGTCCCGGTGGTGGCCTTGCCCACCCAGCACCAATTCGCGTACCCTGGCCCATGGCGCCCCGCGCCGCCCCTGCCCGGCCGTCGGTCACATCTTCGACCTCGGCGCCACCGCAAGCTGGTCCCGCAGCACGCGCCGCATCACCTTGTTGGACGCCGTCCGCGGCAGCGCGGCCACCACCACCAGCCGCTCCACCTTGAAAAGCGGGTTCAGGTGCACCCGTATCGCCGCCTGGCAGGCCGCAAGCAGCGCCGCGTCGCGGCCCGCCTCCCTCGGGACCACAAACAGGTGCAGGAGCTCGGGCCCGCCCCCAGGGGTCGGCACGCCGACCGCGGCGGCGTCGAGGAGCTGCTCCCCGAGCCGCTCCAGGACCACGCGCTCGAGCTCGACCGACGACACCTGCGGCGCGCGGGTTGCCACGGGCGGGCGGCGCACGCAGTCGCGGCGAGCTGGCTTTGTGGCGGGGCGTCAGGGCGATCTGACAGACGCGACATGTGCTAGTGTGGTTCAGCGCCTCGGATGCAGTAGGCATCATTGATTAGCTGCGGCCCAGCCCCAGCACCCCTACACCCACCCCCAACACCACTCACGGCCCGAAGGACCACAGCGGCGCCTGCCCTTAAACCGCCACGCAGCCGACCTTGATGCCTCCGAGGTTCATGGTGTCGTCGCAGCGGCCGAGCGCGCGGTAGTAGCCCCCGGCCAGCCGCGCCACCTCGTCGCCGTGGCGCCGCAGGCGGCGGCCGGTGGCGGCGCAGCTGGCCATGCCGGCATAGTACGTCTTGAAATGGTCGCGGTTGAGCAGGCGCTGCGAGGTGCCCAGCATGGGGGGCACCAGGGCCAGCTCCCTGCACGGCGGGGCCGATGCGGAAGGGAGGGGATGAGCATCACCAAGGCGCCAAGCGTGGCTGCCCGTGATGCCAGCCAGAGCCGCCAACCAGCATATCAAGATAGGGGGAAAGGGGAGGCCACGGGAAGCCCAGGGCGCTCTGCTTGAGGGGCGGTGCGCACCCGATGCAGGGGGTGCCGCCTTCGTGCGGGCTCTGCCCGCCCTCGGGCCCGAGCAGCACAAGGCTGGCCCCCAGGGTGGGCGTGCTAAACGCGGACGGCGCCTGGGGCTGCAGCAGGGTGCCGGTCAGGTAGCCGCCGCCGATTTCGGTGCCGCCGCAGTACCTGGGGGATGCGACATTGACAGTCGTTGCACTGTGAACCGGCCGCTTGTGGACAAACGCGCGGCTGGAGCCCAGCGGCTTTGACAGGCGGCAGCAGGCGCCGGCGTTGTGATTCGGGCGGCACCCGCGGTCGAGCAAAGGGGCGAGCCGCGGCCATCGCACCGCCCAGCGAGCGGCGACCCGCCCGAGGCGCCGCTCGCTCACTCGATGACGGGGCGGTAGCCCAGCACGCGGCTCGAGAGCCAGTGGTAGTCCTCGGGCGCCGACGCCTCCCCCGTGCTGCTGAAGCACCGCAGCCGCCGCCAGCCCGCGTTCGCCAGGCAGCCGACCGCGCGCCAGGCCTTGACAATGGACGGCACCAGGCCCAGCACCTCCACCCCGGCGCTCTCCACAAACTCGACGAAATCGCGGCCCAAGGGGGCGCCCTGCGAGGGTTGCGGGGAGGGGGACGAGCCGCTCGAGCCGCAGGGCGGGCTGCTGCGCAGCCCTCCAGGCTGCAGCGCCAGTCTCATGGGCGCACTGTTGCAATCTCGATACATGGATGCACGCCCTTCCACGACGAGGCCACCTGCCATCGTTGCACCGCGGTCGCGCGCAGGCCCAGGGCGCTTGCAGGCGCGCGCGTCCACCTGGTAGAGCGCTATGGTGCCGCCGTTGAGCAGCGCCGCATACACCAGCCAGGGCCCCATCATCCAGCCCAGGTTGGTGGGCCACGCCACGACAGACCCCGGCCGGACGTCCTGGTGGGCCCAGCCGTCGGCGGCGCATCGCAAGGGCGTCACGTGGCTCCAGGGGATGGCCTTGGGCTCGCCCTACGGGGGAATGGGGCGTTTTCTTTGTTGCACGCGCAGCGTGCGGGCGAGGTCGCGGTGGTAACAGGGTGGACGCGGTGCACCAGGGGGCGCGCGAGGGCTGCAGGGAAAATCGCTCGCACAAACCCACCAAAGAGGGGCACGTGAGCGACATGACAGATGCGGAGGCGCAACCACATGAGGGGCGCGCAGCAAGGTGGCCAACGGGTCGACACAGAGTGCCCACGCTCAACCCCCCCATGCCCATGCGAGAAACCCTGCACCGCATGACATGCCCACAAAAATCTGCCCTGTTAACCCGCGGTACCGTGGTGCCCGAAGAGAACAGGATATTCGTGGCCTCGTGCGCGTTCGCCACGTGCGGGCTGAACGCCACCAGCTCGCGCGGCGCACCGCCCGGCCCGGCGAGGAACGCCTCCCATGTCACATCGCCGCCGCGCAGTGGCAGCCGCAGGGGCGCCTGTGCGCCGTCGGCCGGCAGCACAACGGCGAGGGGCGCAGCAGCGTCCTGGACACGCGCGTACAGAGGCAGGGCCTTGCCGCCGCGTAGGACGACGTCCTGTGTGTGTGTGAGAGGGGGGGTTGAGTGTGAGTGGGGGGTAATGAGATAAAGGTGCGGTTGGGGAGGAATTGTGTATTTTTGGTCAGGTGAGGGTGCTTGCGTTTGCATGCATGCAGTTGCATGTGTTGGTGTATGTGTGTGTGTGTGTGTGTTGATGTGTGTGTGTGTGTGTTTGTGTGTGTGTGTGTGTGTGTGTGTGTGTGTTGGTGTTGGTGTGGTTTATGAACTTGCTGGTGGCGGAATGTGTTGGTGTGTGCTTTAAATTCAAAGAGTGTGCGTCTGTGCGTGCGCGAGGACTTGTATGCATTGAAAACCAAGTGTGCGTGCGTGGCGCGAGCGGACATGCGTGCATGTACGTGCAAATGCGTTCACAGCTCCTTTATCTTTGGTTGGCCTATAGAACGGCTGCATCTTGCAAGCCGCTGACCCGTGATGCCATGCCCCCAACTGCAGGCAACATCCCAGGCATTTTAAAGTAGACCCCTAGTATCTCAGAGCGTGCCTGAGTGAAGACGGCCTGCGCGCGAGATATGCGCAGGCGGGCCGCGATCTCGGACGCCGCGAAGCTGTCAGCAATAGACACCACGCTGGCCAGAGGTGGGTGGAGCGAGGGGGCGGAGAGGGGAGGGGTGAGGGCGCCGACACAGAGAATGGACACCCGGGTGAGCCGCACGCGACTGGCAAGAAAGGGGCCAGGGGCAGCAATTGTGAGTCCTGCAGCTGCTGCCCCTGGACGCCGTTTAAACGAGCGCAGAAACAGCCGCACAAGACAGACGGGCGCTGTGGGCAACGCGCGCACTCCGCTGCGGCCAGCCCGTCAGCGCCCCGCCACCCAGGTCCGCCGCACCTGCAGCCGGCCAGCACAATCCCCAGATACGCCACCACCGCCTCGACGGTCATGGGCATGTTGATGGCAATGGCGGTGCCTGCGGCGACGCCGGCGGGCGCAGCGCGCAGGCGCGTGCGCACGGCGATCTCAGGTGCACATTGAACGCCTGTTCCAAGAAACTGCCGATATTGTAAATGAATGTGATGCGCGAGTCATTCGTGGAGAATTCAACCCACGCCGTCAGTGCGTTGCGTTTGCCGCGGCCCCGCCGGCTGCGCGCGGCCGCTGCGCACCTGGCCTGAAGCGCGCCGCGACGCACGACGCGACGTGGTAGCACCGGCGCTGCAGCTCCTCGCGCCCCACCGCCTGCACGTCCCGCGGCCGCCCCTCTGCCGCCCACAGGATCGCCGGCGCCTCCGGCGGCGCGCGCGGGCACGACAGCGCCGCCTCCGCTATGTTCAGCCGAGCGCCGGGGAGCCAGACGCAGCTGCGGGCGCGAGGCAGCGGCCGGCGGCCGGGCAGCGCGAAAGGGCCAGCCTAGTCGAGGTGAAAGAGGCGGGCGCCGACACGCGCAGCAGCAGGAGCGTGCAGCGGCCACCTCCTGGAAGCCGCATTCAGGAGCGCATGCAAGCAGGAGGCTTGCTTCAGGGAGTATCGACAAACAAAAGCGTTCCTTTGCACCCGGTTCTCACCCGTCAGGGTCGTCAGGCGCCGCCTCCCGCAGGATGCGCGTCGGCGGCGCTGCAAACCTGACGCCGAGCTCCCGCAGGACCGCCGACCAGAAACCCTCCGGGTTTGCGCACGAGACGCGCTGCAGCAGCCGCCAGTCCGCCGCGGGCTGCCCCGTGCGCTGCGCCCTCCACGCAAAATCGCCCTGCGGTTGGGGGCCGGTCGCCCGCCACCCGTCGGTATGTAGCGGCGTTGTGGCAAAGACGGGCAACAAATGAAACACCCTGCTGCGCTCAAGCCTGGACGTGCGATGTTCGGCCTGCTCTTTGGGGGCTACTGCCCGCATGCTGCAACCTGGCTGCAGATGGATTGCAATCTCAGCAGCCTGTGCGATGCGCCCACCTCAAAGCGATCCATGAAGGCCTGTACATTGGTGCCAGCCACATCGGCCGCGGTGGGCACCCAGATCGGCGCAGGCCCCAGCACGCGCTCGTCCCAGCCCGCAAACACCGCCGCGTGGAGCGCCTGGTGCAGCTGGAAGGGCTGCTCAGGGCGCAGGACGTCGCGCACCAACTGCTGCCAAGCCTACTCGCAGGCGGGCGCGCATGTGGTGTGTGTGTTTGTGTGTGTGTGTGTGTGTAGTGTTGTTGATGTGAGGGCGAATGAACCACGGCACAGAAGCCCTGGTGCATCAAGCAGGGTGGGTGGGCACGGCGCCAACCTGGCAGGTGCATGCTGCACAAGCGTGTTCTAGCCAGCAGACACACTGTAGTGAGCAGTCTGAAGCCCCGCACCTGCGGGGCACGCACGGTGCCTGCCTTCACGCCATCCAGCAGCTGCTGCACAAGCTGCCGCTCAGCGTCCAAAAGGCCCGGCCACTCCATCCCGGGCAGCGCCAGCGGGGCGGGCGACGAAGACATCGTCTGCGCGTCGCTGCTGTGTTGCAGCGGGCGCTTGTCTTCGTGGGAGCACCCTCTGATAATCCTATAAAAGCAGCTACTAAATCGTGCATTCTCCCCTTGCCATTTCTAAGCTCGCAATCTTCTTCGGTGCCTGGGTGGAGGAGTTGTTCACATCAGCTGGTCACAAGCGCGGCCCAGGCAGCAGGCACGTGTGCATCAGAGCTTCATATAAGCTGAATTGGAATCACAGCTTTCATGCAAACATTACATAACAAAGGTAGATTTCAAGGGACGATCAAGATTGTTGCCCGCACTCTTGAAGGTGAGCACATTGCAAATACTTTCAAGCACAAGAAACAGCAGCGTCATCATCTTGGCTCGAAGCGACACCCTCCCAATCCTCCCCATTCGGCCCACACAGATGGTTGCCCCCAGCCTCGCACAGCGCGGGCACACCGTGCTCTCAGGGCGCATTCAGCAGCTGTCTAGGTGCACATGTTACAGGGCGTTTGCATCGGCGCAGCGGTCGAAGCTCACCGGGGCGGCGGCAACGCACGCCGCGAACGCCCTGCCACCACAGCAGGAGCAGCAGCAGCAGCATGAGCAGCAGCCCCTGGACGCATCGACCTTCTGGGCGCGGGCCTTCCTGATGCAGCAGCAGGGCTGCCATGAGGATGGGCAACAGGCGTCCAGCAGCAGCCCGAGCAGCAGCAGCAGCAGCAGCAGCAACGCCAGCGCCACCGCCCCCACAATGGCAGTGGCGTTTGGTGCGGTCGCGCTAGGCGCCGCGCTGCTTGCGCTCCTGCCGCCAGATGCGGCGCACGCGGCTGCCACCGGCGGCGACGTCAATGCCCAGGTCAATGCCAGCTTTGACCTTGGCGAAGGGGAGGAGTTCTGGGGCAACGTGGCCCGGTACGGCCGCTACTTTGTCACTGTGATGCTCGGCACCGGTTACGTCATGGTGCGCCCGCTTGTGGGCCTCTTCAAAAACCCCGTGTCCGGCGTGCTCGCCGTGGTGGCCCTGGGCGCCTTTGGCTATGGCATGAAGGTAACGCTGGACGCCATGCTGGGGCTGTCGCAGCCGTTTGAGTACCTGCCGGCGCAGTCGTTCTGATGCGGCACGCGGCGCAAGCCGTCCTGAGGTGCACGGTGCCTGGTCCTTTTCTCGAGTTTTGAGCGTGTCAGTAGGTCACTTGACGGCTGTGGCGTCGTCATGGCGGCTGCTTTTGCAGGTGTGAATTGGTTGAGCAGAGGTTTGCTGGCTGTGTGCACATGAGGCTGTACGCATGGCAGCTTGCATGATTTGGCTTTGCGTTGCCGCCAGTTGCTTACAGGTTCAGTTCTGTTTTGTCTTTGAGTGGCGCCCATGGCCGGCAGGAAACCCTGCATTTCAAGTAACCCTGCGCGCCACCTCCAGCGTGCAAGCCCTAACACAGGTTGACAGTGGCTCAGGCACGAGCGCGGTTGCGACTGTCAAAGCAAATCATAGCTGCAACATTCTTCTCGTTGCTTGAAAATAAATGCGGCAACAGCAGTGGATCAGTCAGAAGTTCGGGCTGCTCACTGTCCGCCAGGTACAGTAAGCGTCTGCCTCACGTGTGAACCTGGGTGCCGCTGCTTCCACACTTGCGACGAAAGCGCAGTATACTGATCACTTGTAATTCATCAGCCAAACTTGCCAGTACAACTGCGACCAGATGCATACCGGTAGATCGGCGCCTGCTGAGTGACGCATCCTCCAGCTGCTTCCGTCTTGTGTTTGAACCAGCAGGAAACCGGATTCGTGCCCATCATGTTGCGTGAGATTTTAGGCATCCTAAATTTTATCACCTTGACGCGTCTTATAGTAATCGCGCCATTCTCTTGCACCCAAAGCCAGTCAACGCGCAGCTGGTTCCCCGTGCGCGCGCAGGCTTACATAGACGTAGTGCACGAGCCTTGGGATACGCAATAAAACGTATCTCTTGCGTGCGGGCAGTCCACTTGTGTTGCCCGCAGCACAAGCCCGGGCGACGCAGTGCCGCTGCTGCTTTTGCGCACTGCACAACGACAGGGCGTTCTGGACAAAGCAGCGGCTGACCTGCTAAGGTGGCCTTGCGGCGCCATGACGTCACAAAAAATGGCGCTGTTGGTCGCTGTGCTGGTTCTGGCACTTGGTGTTGAGCGCGTGCACGCTCGTAGCAGCAGGCAGCTCAAGCAGTTTGGCTTCTGCAACAGCGTTGATGTCAATTTTGGTGAGCACCCTGCATGCACAAGGCAGGTGGCAACAGGGTGGAATGCCTGATCACCCTGAAGCTGATGCTGCTTGACCGCTGGTCGGGGGTGATATGCATGCGGTCGCAGCGGCAAGAGTATAAGCAACAAAAGCAACATGATCAGCTATCGCATGAGTGTATACAACTACGTGTTCGGAGCCGTTATGTGCGCTTGGTTCTGGCATCGCAGACAGTCCACCCCCTGGTACACCGCCGGCGCCTTTGGGCATGGATGGGAGCCGGATCATCAACATTCAGAACGGGAACAACGTTGCGATCCGCGGCCTCAATTGGTGCGTGCACATGCCCTGTCAATGAGCAACAGCAGGCTGTGTTTTGCTGGAGAGCACAACGCAGTTGACCTGGCAAAGTACCAAGCTCCAGCGAAACACCCAACTTTGTGCTTGATCAATAGTTCATGCAGCTGGTGTGGCTCAGCTTTGAGGCTCATGCAGCGCTCAACCCCACGCACGCATACAGAATGCATGCAACCGTCTGTGGCCCCGCCTGCCATCAAACCCAGGTTTGGTTTTAACGTGGGCATGGGCATGGTAGATGGCCTGTGGATTGGAGGCAGCGAGGCCGCCACCGACTTCGCCCTCATCACGTATCAACTCCGCCTGCTGGGCTACAATGCTGTGCGGCTGCCCTTCATCTGGCGTGACCTGGAGATGGCCCCCAAGAACCTCGACAAGGCCTGCTACCCTGTGACACCCGAGCAGCTGAAGCGCCGCCTGATCAGCCCCCACATGCTTGACACATACAGCAGCAAGCAGCTTCCCGGCAACGTGTCACCGCAGAGGAAGCGGCAGAACGGCTACTGCAACCAGTACCTGCCGGGAGGCAGCAGCAGCTACCACCGGCTGCTGTTTGTGATGCAGAGCATCATCGCGCAGGGCATGTACGTCATCCTGGACTACCAGCCCATGGTGAGGTCTTGGGACTGCAGAGGGTGGGGGCAACGGCTATTGGAGCCGGCGGGGGCAATGTTGCGCACTGCACTGGCACAGGAGGTGCGGAGTCACTTTGTTGCAGAGATGACAGTGATGAAGCGACGCATAGCCCACGTATGCGCTCAACTATGGAGTGAAACAAGCAGTCTTGAACCTCTGCGGACCTGCGCGTTGTTGCCGCCGCTGTGCAGGGATTGGAACAGCACCCTTACAACCAGCAGCAGTTTGTCGACAGCTGGACCAACCTCTGGAGCATGGTCGCTTGCCTGCCCAACTTCAAAAGCGATCTGGCCAACCGTGTCTTCGTGGACGTCATGAACGAGCCTGACAGTATGGGCATCAAGTGGGAGGCTGCCAATGGCCGCCCTGGCGCGCACCAGCTGTATCTTGGAACCGCGGATGCATTGTGGCAGGTCACCCCTGATGAAGTACTGTTCATGTTTGAGGGTGAGTGGCACCTCGCCCCTTCATCACCTCGCCTCCAACAGCTGATCAGTGCTAGCAGTCCCACTCTTGCAAATGTTTATCGTGCATGTGCTTTTTGGCCAATGTGCATGCAAGCAACGAACAGCCAAACCTTGGCCTGCAAACGCTTAATGCCACTTGCATGTCTCGCTGCAGGCACTGGTCAGCAGGCGCTTGGCCTCAACTGGGGCAACGGCTTCGTGACCGACCAGGACGTCATCAGCAGCCGGGGCCTGGCGGACGCAAACCCCTTCTTCCTGGACCTCATGAGCAGGCCTTATGTCGGGAAGGCAGGCAACTGGCACAAAGACGGCTGTCTGTACATCAGCTTCGGCCTGCGCCACTCAAACGGAGCTGCTTGTCCCTCTCCCACTGCCATCCCTGATTGTTGACTTGCGAGCACAGCTCGGGCACAAACCCTTTGCCTTGGCGCCTGGCTTTCTCAGTCATTGTCGTACTGGCTGACTCCCCCCCAACCCTGCCTGAATCACTCTTGAACAGGTGGTTCTCACGCCCCATGTGTACCCCCCCTCAATCACAATGGCAAGTTTCCTTGGCACCACCCTATGGGACCAGTGTCGCACCGCCTTTGGGTACCTGCAGACGCAGGGCGCCTGCCCGCCTGGCGCCAGCACATGCCGGCAGTTCCCTGTGGTGATCGGCGAGACGGGGTCGGCGTTCCGCGACCCCAAAGACAAAGAATGGCTGCGCGACTTTGCTGATTTCCTTAATGCCGAGGTGAGATGGGAACAAATGAAGCTGGGTCCTGAGAACCAGGGTGTGAGGCAGCTCTGCAGAAGCTTCTCTACACGCGCCTGAAGTTGGTTGCAGTCTACGACTGGACAGGCAGGTGGACGGCTGCACAGGTCCCGTTGCCTACCTATGCACGCATAGTGCCTTGTGCTCAAACTAGCAATCGGCTGGGCCAGCAAAAGGCAGTGTGATCTCACGCTGCAGGACCAATTGGTAGATAAGGGTTGTTAGAGCAGCCAGCTGAAGTCCCGCATGTCTTGTGCCTCACAAACATGATTCTCACCGATGTCATCTTTTCCAGAATGGTGCAACGGCGTACAACAATGTGCCAGTGAACGGCTGGCTTTGGTGGGCCTACAACGAAAACAGCGGCGACACGGGCGGCATCGTACACAACCGCTGGCAGGACCTAGACTGGGAGAAGCTCAACTGGATGATCGCCAGGATGGGCCTGACACCCTGGTATCTCAGGTGCACGCGCCTGGTAATCAGCCGCTGCTGCTGCGTGCTGCTGCTGCTGCTGCTGCTGCTGCTGCTGCTGCTGCTGCTGCTGCTGCTGCTGCTGCTGCTGCTGCTGCTGCGGTGCATGTATAATGGGGACAGTTGTGAGAAAAACAGTATATGGTGGGGACAGACGTGCTGTATGATAGACTGGCTGCCCCCGGCTGCCAGGTTGCCTCCATTACCATCGATCCGCTTTGCCACGCTTCACTTGCAGGGGCTAGGCACTGCTGCTGCACGCGCAGTGCTGGGGTCGGCTTGGAATATTGAGAGAGCAGTGCTAGAATGGACAACGACGGTAGATATCCAAATAAAATCATGAATCCCAGGTACCAAACGTTCATTAGCCCTTCCCGTGGGGCAGGCCAAACATGTATCAAGCTGTCCACAACATTTGCACTACCATCGAGGTCATGCTTTGGGATTTCCTGCAGAGCGGTGGTGGCATCATTGCGAGCAACGGGGCTTTTGCAGTTGCTCGGCAGGAGTTGGGGGGCTGGGAGAAAGCCACGAAATCAACACTGGGTGCAGCACCTACACGTGCTTTCCACATCGTTCCAACCTCGGAAGCTCCTCCGATCGCGTGTCCATCAAACCCCTATTTGCCTGTTTCGTGCCTCATCCCTCAGCGCCCACGTGGTGTGCCCAGCAAGGTGATAATGTGCTGCAACGCTGCGCTCAAAACCCCCAAGCTGGATATTCTTGCTTATGAGCTTGCTTTTGAACCTTGCTTGATTGCCCTGCAACAGGATACAGTTATTAGCACTGACTTAGGGCTGTAATGTAGGGACGAGCGGGCCAGACGCATCAAGACAGAATCTGTGCATTGTAGGGTGTTGATGGCCCTGCCGTTCTGTCCAGCCTGTAGGGACCAGTGGTGATGCATCACACCGGACCACGTCTGTGCAATTGCTCCAGCTCTACTTCCTTGACGAACCCTCATCTCACCTCAAAAAGCTTGGCTTGGTGAGCATCTTCCGCTCTGAAACAATATTTGCTAATAATGCCAGAAGTCAATCTGCTTTGAGCTGGTCGTATAATTGGGGTTGTGCAGGTACTGAAGGCTGAGGCACGTTAAACCAAACTTGCCAATTTAGCAACAAATACACCACAAGCTTGTGCGAGTGCAAGAAATTCGCCATTGTCGCTTATAGGAACAAAGACGATGCGGCCTCCGCCTGCAAGGGAGACCGGTCATTGCTGTGTTGGTCGAAGTCACCAGGAAGTTTGGGGCGTAAGGGCTGGCCACCTGCTCGCGCCTACACCCCTTGCACCAACTGCCCGCTCTAGCCCCCGGATAAACTGCAGCACCCGCGATGGCACAGCCGTCTGCCGCCGTTGCTGACGAACGGCCAGCCATTGCTGAGCATTGCTGCTGTAACCGTGCGTGCCATGCCTTTCTGCGCTGCAGGTGCCGTGGTATTGCGTGCACACAGGCCGGGGCAGGGGCGTGCCCGTCCTTCAAGGAGGGGCGCGCGGGCGCACGCGTGCGTGCTCAAGCAGCCAGGAAAGTATATACCCAACCTGACTGCACCTCGCCCCATTTCAAGCGGCTTCTTTGCACACAGCTTTGCCGCGGGCCCGCGGCTGGTCTACAGCAGCGTCGTCAGCGTTGCCTGGTCTCAGGCGCGGTCGAGTGACGGCGGCGGTCACTTGTGTCCAGCCTGGACATGCACATATTTTCGGAAATAGCGTGTTATTTTGAAAGTATTCTGTGCGTTTGTGCTAGCTAACAAAGTCAGCGAGGGCGCCACCGGGGCCGTTCCCAGATCAGCGGTGGGCTCCCTTCTCACAGCACTAACGCTTCGAAATTCGGGGATCAACGTCATCGATACAGATTTCAGGATGCTGCGGTGCTTGCAGGTCAGTGCGAGACCACTCGGGGTTTTTCCGCGCAGACCGAGCCGCTCTAGCAATGTTACTGGAGGTCGCACTATAAGACTGGCTTCTCTATCTCGCAGATGGCATTGCTGTCCAGGAGCGGAGCGGCGTGGACATCAGAGCTCGCCGTGCTGGCGGCCTCGCCACACCGCTGCTGCCTGGCGGCAACTGAATGCGCCACGAGTCACCCGGCCCCGTACATGCCCCGCCCATCGCGTGGATTTGCGGCTGTAACAGAAGCATCACATACAGCTGCCAGCCACACAGATGCTGGAGGCACACTTGCTCAAACCGCCGCAGCGTCATCATCGGCAGCGGGTGGCACCGGCCGCAGCAGCCCAGGTAGGGCCGCCGCTGCTGGCGGCCGGGCACCAGCAGGCGGTCCTCTGGCCCAGGCCAAGGTGGACGACTTCATTGGCGCCAGTATCTCGGGCGCCACGATGCTGGGGCAGCTGCGGCGGATGATGCTCAGGTGCGAGGCGCTCGTGTCGCCAGCAGCGGATCAGGCCAGTGCGGCTGCCAACCCATGCGCCTATGCGTATTGGCTGACAAAGCGCGTCGCCCGCGGCGATTGAGTCGGCAACCAGATATGCGCCTTGCCGTCCGGCACGTGAGTACGCAGCAATGTGCCTCGAACAACAGAGTCGCAGGGCCCCTTTTCTTTTGCCCCCACCGGGCAGCTGATGGAAAACCGCCCGCTGACAGGTATCGAGCAATGATGTTGCCGCGCCACGTGGTGGACGTTTTGATGGCCATGGAGAGGATCTGCAGCGGCTCTCGGGCCACCGACGCGGCGGCGGCGCAGCGGACAGGCCCCCGAGGCAGCGGGCTGCGCAGCGCACGTGTGCAGGCCGCCGCGCCGGGGGGCCCGGCGCACAGCGGCGAGGGTCAGAGCCCAGAGCGGCAGTCCATCATGTGAGACGGGGGCCCCTGCTTGCCCCGCCTCCCCCTGGGGCACGTACACCCTGGGTTCAGCTTGCGTGAAGCCTTTTGATTGGGTCGCGCTTGTGACGTCCCACCGTACCGGCGGCGACCGAAGCGACGCAGCGCGCGGGGAAAGACCTGACCTGGGGTCCCGCTGCTGCCGGCTGTCGCCGCCCCCGGTTTGAACGTCGCGCAGGTACATGATGGGCGACCTTGGCAACTTGATGTGGGGCCACCTGGATGAGATCGACGCCCCCGGCCTCGCATACTGCATCTGGTGCGCGGCCGGGGCGAGGCGGCGGCGCTCGCATAACAATGGGATGGGACAAGACCCTTCCTCCATAACCCCTGTGAAGGCCTGGGACCAGCGGGGCCGTGGCGCCTCCGGTCTGCGACCCCATGCGGGCACGACGCGGTGGTGAAACCTCCCGCCACGCGCAGGCGTCTCCCTGCTGCCTTCCCGCTGATAGCGTGCGTCCTGCCAGCCCGCCCTTCTCACCTGCCGCGTGCCGCCGCGCTTTGCCCGTCTGCAGGTGCTGGGCGCGGCTGTCGTGGCACCCCGACCCCCAGCTGCTCTCTGAGGTCGCCCGCCGCTTCGCAACCCCGGCGAGCCTCGACGCCCTGCGGCCAGCGGAGCTCGCTCGCGGCATCTGGGGCCTCTCGGCGCTCGGCGCGCTGGGCGCCGCCGAGCTGGCGCGGCTCGCGCCGCGCGTGCGGGAGCTGGCGTCAGAACTGGACGAGCAGCAACTGCTCGCGGTCTCGCGCGCGCTCGAGGCGGCCACGGCGCCGGGTGAGGGCGCCGGTGGGGCCGGGGCCGCTGACGTGGCGGCGCTCGTGGCGGAGCTGTCGGCGCGCGCGGAGCAGCTGCGGTCAGCTGGGGTTTGACCGGCGGGCCGTCGTCGTCTTTTTCAGCTCGGCGCGCAGCTGCTGCGGGGCTCAATCATTTCGGGGGGTTGCGCCTCCCTGCGCCGCTCAACCTTGCATCGGCTTGAGCATGCTTTGTGATCGTGTTTTACAGCAACCACCGAATATGCTGACCCCTGGCGGGGCATGTGCCCCGTCGCGTGTGCTGAGTGCCATGTGCTGTGTGCTGTATGCGTTCAGAAGAGCGGTGGTGCGTCCAGGGTTGAGCACGCGGTGCAGGTTTAGAGCCGTGCTGAGCTGAATCTATGCATGCGAATGCACAGCCGTTGACAGCAGTGCCCCGTACACTGAGGTCTGCAACGGCGTCGCCAACAGGCTTGAACAGATTGGAAAACGCAACGCGCGATCACCCTCTCAAGCGGGGCCGCAGGCAGCGCCATAAATTGCGCGAGTGCGGGTGCGAGGTAGTAGAAAGGTTGCAGCCTAGCCAGTGTGGTTTGACTCAAATGCAGTTCCGTGTAGACCGGGTGTCCTCATGTGAGCCGCCCAGGCACCTTCGCTCTTAATCCACGTGTAATCAGCACCACGCAGCCAGCGGCAAAGTGCCAGTTTGCACTCAAGCAGCAAGTTGACACCAAAGTTGAACGGCCACCAGGCGCGCCTCTCTGAAGTGCCACGAATTGAGGAGTAGCAGTGCTTTGCTTTGACTAGCCCCCCAGCGGCTCAGATCCTGGAATTCCCACGTGTGGCACGCAGTGGCACACCTGGTGGCAAACGCGCCTGCCAGCGGCCGGTCCGCCCTCATCAACCGTCTCAGTGAGGAACCAAGTCTCTCAGGTGCGAGCTCTGTGCAGGTGGCCAAGATGCCAGCCCAACAATTGAGATGATGGCCCGCCATGCGTTGATGGGGGGTGGCTGCCGCCCATGCAGCAGCAGCCGAGTGACAGGGTAGGGCGTGGGGCGCTCCACTCGCATCACCGAATTGGTGCACCCAACAAAGCTGTCGCGCAAGAAAAGGCAGCAATTGCGAACACCCACAGTACGCTCGCGCACAAACGGGCAGCGCAAGGGCCGCACGCCGAATGCCAGTGGGTGGTCAGAAAGCAAAACGCAGCATGTACAGGTTTGCGGCCGCAACCGTGACGAGCATGAGCGGCACGCCAATCTTCAGCCATTCCAGGAAGGTGCAGCGGTGGCCAGACTTGTCCAGCATGGTGGCCGTCACGATGTTTGCAGACGCGCCGATGAGGGTCGCGTTCCTGCGCAGCAAAGTTGTGCGTGTGTTGGGGAGAGGAGGCAGTATGAGGGGGAAGGAGGGAGAGAGAAGCACAGGGGGTGAGGGGGGTGGGGGGTGTTGAAACAATGGATGCGTGCGTCTTGGAGACCGAACATGCATGCGGCCATAGAACTCCACGTGTGGCGTGTGTAAATTTGCCGCACTCACCCTCCGAAGCAGGCGCCGAAGGCCAGGGCCCACGCGAGAGTCTGCGAGGCAGGCGGCAGAGTGCAGCGGGAGCGCGCCGCCTGGTCAGCGACTGGATAGTCAACCATGACCGCAACACCTGCACGACGGCACATGCAGCAACTGCGCTGCGCTGCGGAAACCGTGCACCTGCGCCACCCTCGCGCCCACCTGAATGTTGAGCCCCAGCCCGGCAGACGCCAGCAGCTCCACGACTGGCACCATGGTAATTGTGTAAGGGCTGCAGGGCGGGGCGGGGCGATAATGTCTTAGGATCATGCTCCAGGAGAGGGGAAAGGGCGGAGTCTGGACACACAGTCAGCCACGAGCGAGCCCAAGACCCTCTGCTGGCCGCCGCGCGCCATGGCGGCCGCACGCTGGCATGCTGAGGTGCAGCTCCGTGGGAGGGGCAGGGGTGAAGGGGCGAGGCGGGGCTGAACACTGAGGGCTCACATGTTGTCCAGGATGCCGCTCACGACGGCAGATACCCACAGCAGGATCTCAATAGCCACGAGGGTCCTTCAAGGGTGAGAGGGATGACGGGGAACAGGGCACTGGGTGAGCTGTTGCTTGCCACCACGTGCAAACAGAAGCTGGGTGCAGAATGCTGACGAGAAGCTTCACCAGCTGGTGGCCCTTTTGCTACCTGTGCGGTCAGCAGGTTGATGCCCACTCAGGAATGCGCAGCGCTGCAGTCGCCTCACGCACAGGCCAACGGCCCGGGCAGCTTTGTGCACCCAACAGCGACCCAACGCCTTTAATCAGGGCCTCACCGTGACTGCGGCGGCGCCGCGCGTATCGCAACCTCCAGCCACCCCCCAATCATGTCAATCAGCCCGATCTCTGCTGCAGCCTCCACCATCACAAACTGGGCGGCGAAGAACAGGAGCATGTCGAGCTCAACACTGTGCATGACCTCCTCCACCTGACAAGTTGCGTTGGGTCCGGGAGCCAGGTTCAAGGCCTAAGCTATTGGCTTGCTGCGGTCCCGGCGTGTGGTGAGTGTTGGGGTGGTGTCTCGAATGCACGAGCACGTCTGCAGGTGCGTCTGGCAACTTGCTGGCATGTTGGCGCGGGCGCTCAGTAGCATCAGCACGGCGACGTCTCGCGGGCGCGCGCGCGCGCGCGCGCCGCACCTCCATGGGTGCCACCACGATGCACAGCAGGACGGCGCCGATGATGGCGAACCAAGCGGGGTCCACGTGGTGGACCGGGTGCTGCAGTGTGGGCGTGTTCGAGGTATGTGTGTGCATGTGTGTGTGGTGTATGTGTGTGTGCCCGTGTGTGTGTGTGTGTGTGTGTGTGTGTGTGTGTGTGTTGCATTTGTGCCTCGTGTGGCGTGTGCACATGTGCTGTTGCGGGACACTGGCTGCAGTGTCTAGGATCAACACGACACGTGAGAGGGGGGAAAGTCGCAGGGAGAGGCAAGAGCGCACTGTGGAAGTTCTCCGCTCTAGCGTTGCAAATGCATGTGACAACGCCATGCCCCCCGAGAGGAAGCACGCGTCCCCGCCGCGAGCCAAGCGCCGGGCCGCTCTCTCGCGCGCGCAGCGCGGGGCTGCCATAATCACGTAACGCCTCATCAAGCCAACCAGCCAGCGGGCCGGCTACATGCGAAGCTGCTTGCGCCGGCAACCACCAGAGCGGGGCGGGTCTCACCAGCAGGAACCCCATGACGACGGCCAGCGTGACGTAGCTGGCCTTCGCCAGCAGCCCCCAGTCGGTGATGCGGTAGCTGGAGGTGGCCTCGAGGCACTGGTCGTACGCGGGGATGGGGCCAAGGAGGGTCGCGCGGTACATGTACAGGACCAGGGCCGTGGCCGGCACGCACGCCACCAGCACGCCTGCATGGGGACAGGGGTGGGACGAGGGTGCATGGCTGCAGTGCACACGTAGAGGTGTGTGGGCGTTGTGTGTCCATGTGTTCGTGCGCATACGAACAGCGTGCAGTGCAGCGAGCCCTTCCGTAATAAGTGTGATCCAAGCTCCCGCCTCCAGTGCCGAGCCCAACCTGGGGCGAGGTTGATGATAAAATCCACGAATCCAAGGTGGCGGGCGAGCGCCGTGCCGATGATGACGTTCGGTGGGTCCCCCACCATGGTGGCGGTGCCGCCCAGGTTGCTGAACAGCACCTGGCAACAAGGTCGGTGAGGTGAGAGCGCCGTGAGTGGGTCGAGCACGGTGGGAGGCAGTGGGTCAGGGCTACACGGACATCCGCAACACGAGCTGCGCCGACGCCAGGGGAACGGCCGTGCCTGCATGCGGCTTTGCGGGCAAGCAGTGGTACGGTTGACAGCCCAGGATGCACGAGGGGCTCAAGATGCCGCCTGCAGTGGATCCCCTGCAGCTGCATGGAAGATGCAACCGCGTGCACCCCAGGCCTGCCGTCGTGCACCTGTGCCAGCAGCAGCGGGCGCGGGTCCCTCTTGCAGGTCTGCATCATGGCGATGGTGACGGGGCCCATCAGGAGCATCGTTGTCACGTTGTCCAGGAAAGCACTGACAAACGCTGCAGATGCAGGTTTGTTTGCAGATGAGGTGGGTGTTAGCACAATGTGTGGTGTATGGGTCACAAGGTGCAAGGCCAAGCGCCCGAGGGCAGTTGGAACTGTCAGGGTCTGCTGGTCGCCTGGGCGCAGGTGCCGCAGGGATAGCGAGGGAGAGGTGCGAGCACGTCGGGCTGGGGCCCGAATTCACATTACAGAGGCGAACAACTGATAATTGTGCGCCATGCTAGCCCCAGCAGATGCCGCGAAAGTCGCTGTCAGACTCCCAAGACCTGGCTGCTCCCCCAGAGTGCCACGGCGTCAACCTGTCAGGTACACGGTCATCAGCGACAGCGCCCACATGCGCCCCTTGCACGCCTTGAGCGTGAAGGCGCAAAGCACCTGGAGGACGGGAGCGAGCACGGGGCGCGCGGACATTTGCGGGAAAAGCCGCCAAATGTGCGACGAGACGGTCAGGCGCGGGCGTGGCCTGGTGACCCTGCTTGTAACCGATTGCACTGCTGGTTCGGCCGCCAACCCTCTGGGAGCGCCGCCGCCGCCATGCCTCCATATTACCCATCCCGCCAGCCACCCCGCCAACCACCGTTCCGTGCCTGGCCCCTCCCTGAGGCGTCGCGCCCTCACACCTCAAACAGCCCCGTGTTCTTGAGCTGGCCCACGAGGATCATCATCCCAAACAGCAGCCCGAGTGTGCTCTCGTCCAGCCACGAGGTCACCTGCGCGAGCGGCGGCGGCGGGGTCCGTGGTTCGGGTGCGCGAGGGGCGGCCCCAGCCGGGCTGGTGGGCGAGAGGGCCTCACACGAGCAGGTGCTCTGGCCAGCGACGGGCCGGCTGCTTCCATGCGGCACTGTCTTCTTACAAGGCAAGTAGCCTTGCTCCGCCTTCGTCGGTCAAGGCTGCGCCACATAACAGCAAGCGACCTCCCACTATGCTGATGCACGGCTGTGCAACTGACTGCGAGAACCTGGACAGACAGCCCGCCCCTTCATCTGCACACACGCCCTCCCAGCCCCAGAAACGCCCCGCCTGCCCACCGTCTCAAGGCTGGGCACCATGTCCATCCACAGCAGCAGGGCCATCATGGCGAACGCGCCCATGAAAGCACAGTACCTGCGCAGGACGGATGCAGGCATGCGCGTGGATAAGGTGGTGCGGGGTGTGCGAGCATGCTTGCTTCGTGTTGTTGTGCGCACATGATTATGTGTATGCGGGCATGCAGGCAACAGAGTACATGTGTGTGTGTGTGTGTGCGTGCGTGTGTGTGTGTGTGTGTGTGTGTGTGTGTGTGCGTGCGTGCATCTGTGTCAAGGGTGGCAGCGCATTGTGGAGTAGGCAGTCGATGCGGCTTGAGGTTGTGTAATTGTGATTCATCACCACAAGGTGGGCCGAAGCGCCCCCCCCCCCCCCCCCCCCCCCCC